CCCCAAAACCCCAAAACCCCAAAACCCCAAAACCCCTCAAGTACGAATTCAAATAGGCAAATATTATAATATTAAAAATGTTAGTCAACTGAGCATGGTTCTGGATGAGGATCATTATTTGGGCACTTGTGATTTGGCTGTGAGGGTTTGCATACTCATTGATATTTTTGTTGTGGGTTAGGTTCTTAGTGTATCTTTGTGCAGCACATTTCCTTGGGCTTCATCCTTTGAGTTCATTGGATGAAGCATGGCTTCTTGATTCGAAAGTGAATAAGTGTCAACCGGTTTGATATGTCACTTTTGATAAGAACAATGTTGAGGCTATTAGGGGTGCCATTCTGGAAAGACTTGTGGGGAATTGTGTTAGGATGAGATGATGCATTACAAAATTTCTTGGACATATCTTCATGAAGGAGCTTCCAAGAGAAGAAGTTGAGAAATGTATTCAAATTCTTGATGAAAATGAACATCATCTACACACAGAAAAAGACCTTGGAGACTTTCTTTCAAAGACAGTGAATGATCCGATTCCCCTTTCGACTCCACAATGGAGAATGTGGCTTTATGAGAACTACAGTGAGAATGAATCTGCTCTTTTATTTAAAGAGCATCATGTAATGGCAGATGGCCTTGGGATTCTTGAGATTATCTTATTGATTGTTGATGAATTCAAGCCAGAAGCAATCATTGACTTCAGACCCACAACTTGGATAAAACAGATGTTTCTCTATATAATTTCTCCTTTATTTATCTTATACTATATGATTCCTATTTTGTGTAAAAGAAGAGATAAGTCTTCTATTACAAATGTTTCTTTAAGCGGAGAAAAGCAATTTGCTATCGGAAGAAGATTCTCCCTTGAAGATATGAAGAGGTCTTCTAGAGATTTAGGAGTATCTATGAATGACCTTGCTGCTGGAGCTTTAAGTAGAGGATTGGCTGAATATTTGGCAGACCAAAAAGATATAGAGCATTCAGAGACAATAACTGCTATGGTACCGGTTAATCTTAGGACGAAGAAGGCAATGAAGCCGAGTGATATTAAGCTGCAGAATAACTTTACTCTTGTTTTGCTCGATTTTAAGATGGGTCAGACTCTTGAAGATGAAATTAAGAGAGTCAATAGATTGATGAAGAAAGCCAGGCGCTCCATTAAGCCACTTACGACGATGTTTATTCAACAGCTTATCATCAGGTTCCTCCCTTTGTTTATTACTAGACCCTTGATGGATTATACTGCTGGTAAATGAACTCTAGCTTTTTCGAATGTTCCTGGATTCAAAGAGGATCTTACAGTGCTAGGGAGCAGAGCAAATGAGTTGCTCTTCTTCGCTCCATGAATGAGTAAGATTGGAGTGGGAGTCTCAATGGTGAGTCACGTTGATTACTTCAAGATGGGAATATCAGCAGACACCAATGTTATAAAAGATCCCTACTTATTGCTGGACAAAATAGAGAAGAACATCCAGAAATGAATTAACTTGGATCTACAGAATGATGATAATTTTGAGATCCCCTAATTTATTAGTATGAGTCTATTTTCAAAATATTTAAACTTGCAGGGGTTTTGGGGTTTTGGGGTTTTGGGGTTTTGGGG